TATGTAGTTGTTCGATGCGAAGTCTTGACTCTTGCGATTCTGCAGATGGTCTTGTAACAGTCAACACTTGTCAACTAAATCCTGGCACCGCTTTTCATCCGTCGGTTTCAATGAATTGCAACTCATGCGCAGTGGTCGCTCTGAACTGATAGCACTCTATGTCCGTCTTTTCGAAGGCAAACGCCTTTTGGAACGAGCGCATTTCCGGTTTATGTTTTGCTGTGACTTCTTCTAAGCCCGACGTTAATAAAAGATGGCGAGTTGCTTGAGTATCTCTTAAATTAGTCAATCACCAACGTATGACATGCAAAATTCTTGACTGAACTGCACACCAACCACATTGGCGAAAAATGTTGAGTCATGTGACGCAAAGCCAGGGTCAGGTCAATATCGTTTTAAACGGATGATTTGAATTAACGGTTCCTGGGCACGTAACATCGGTTTTAATGGATACCAACACCCATGTAGGTTGCTTCACCATTCTCGTCTTCACTTTTCCTCAGTCGATAAACTGGGGTTGTTAGATGTTGACTGCTCTCCTGAGGACTGCTACACTTCGTAGCCCGTACATTAGAAAAAACGCCTGTTTTCATCTCAAATGCGAGTGAAAGGATAATGTATGTGGCCGAAATAAGGGTATTCTGCTTTTCTGGCTTAATGTAAAATGCTTCAGCCAGTTTCTATGGGCCTCCGCTGTTTGGGTGCGTGAGACCTTAAAGTATTGTTTGGTATAGGCGAAGATTTGATCACGTTAAGGGCAACCGTGGGAGAGCTTCAACTGGCGGGACAACCAGTAGCTTGGCTTCTCATGTAGTAGTCACATCTTGCGTTCATCACTTGACACGTCCGCAACCTCTTAACCGTCAAAGAGCCTCATTTCACTTGTGCGTATTCTGAATAGAAAATCATATTTGCCCATCTAAGCTGCACGTCTTCAGTACCTGCTTAATATACGCTTCAACACAGTAGTGTAAGTGGAAATCTAGGCACTTGTACTTGTTTTTAAGGGTTTATCAGTCAGGTGACGTCGCTAGCAATGTTACTCAATCGTTTGTTGTAGATTGCCTTCTTCACCACTGTTTTTTGGAGGTTTCCAGGGTGCAAAAACTATTCAACTATTTGACGTTCAGTTTTTCTCGAAGAATCATTTCGCGGTCTAAATAACTTTTCTTCCTGCCAGGCTGTGGACGAGGCTGATCATTTTTTAACCTATCCTTATGCTTCACGCTTCATCCTATTCGGTCGTTAGTAATTGCCATAGTATAACCATAATGGTGATGGGTATATGTTGGTTTGATGGGCATCTCTGGGATTACGCATCTCGTTCCTACACAAAGTTGGCCCCCGTTGAGCCTTTCTTTAATGACTACCTAAGGCTGGTCGATAGCAGCTCTGTGCAAGCCTGAAATGTTATCCATTCACTGTTTTCTCTCTCCATCACACAATCTGACCATATTTTAGATGCGCTCTGCTCATTGATTTGGATCTGGTCATTTATGACGGTGAGCAGCTCATAATCTGTTTCCAGAGTATAGCCAGAACTTTCGGCTATCCGTCATCATTGTCACCGGTATGAGGCTACCCGTGATATGCCACAACCGTTTTGTCTTGTATTGAACTAACATGTAACTGCCCACTGCTAGTCAATACACAATTCGAAAGAAGCATCCATGGGTCTTCAAGAATGAAACATTTTCTTTTCACTTTCTAACGTCCCTATCGGGATTCAGAGGGGCACACGCCGCGTTGGACAGCTGAACACGTTGCGCAAGAGGTCACTTGTGTTCGTAACTTGTGTGACCCAAACCTAACGTAAAGTTATTGGTCGAAAGCACTTTACTGAAACATATCATGCGTCACAGTACAGAGTTAAGTAATTTCGACTTGTGGGTCGCATTTTCTAATCCAGTGGGGTCCAGTTCACCACGTTACGTAAGGGTCCATCTCATCTGTGGCTAATTTCTCTGAGCCTTCCAACTAACTGTCTGAACGTCTGGAATTCCATAGGAAGCAGCATAATCAGGCATCTCGGGACCACAACAAGCTTTTCAAGCAAGGTTCACGTTAAACCATGGCGAACTGTCCAACGTCGAAATTAATCCATTTCGGTATGTTTGGAAATTGTACGCAAATATAGATGACAGTATTGAAATCACGGGATATCAGTTCACCTGTGTACGGAATAACATTTTTAAGTCAGTGTCAGTACAACGGAATCAAATAATGCGTCGAATTTAACCCAAGCTGTGGCGAGCCTTATTGGCGATCCGGAACGGTCGTCCTTTAACTGTTTGAGGTCCATCACTCTGTGAATGCTCCTTCCAGTTGATTATTATTATTATTAGTGGGTTTCCACCATGCTTGACACTAATAACTCAAATTTGGATGGTGTTGCTCACAGTTAAAACTTGTCACAGTCAATCCTGGGATAAGGTTCCCTTTTGTTGTGCCTTATTGGCCCGCGAACCAAAATACCGACAACCGGTGGGCGGCCGGTTCGGTTCGCACCGGTATTTTGTTTGCTTCGTGCCCGCGTTTTTATGTAGCTGGGTGGGGAAGACATTAAAATGATGTTGTCGGTTGATATCACGAGCAACATCTTTGCTTCATCTTGTTCCTTTAATTTGCTTCACCCTACCGCACCTTGTCCGCCCCTAATCTTGTCCAGATGTGTTGCTGAAGCGCAACCAACAATATGTTCCCATTAATAAAAGTAACATACTACAGACTGTGTTAGTTAGTGTGCGATCCATGTGCAATAGTCTATCTTGTTGCTCGTTAAACAGAACTGAATCGATTCTATTCGGTGTGAACTCTGTGTGATTGGTGCATCTTAATCTACAGCTACTTTGTTTTCCAGGCTCACGTGTTTTTGTCAGCAGTTGACACAGACCCAAGGTTGTCTGAATGGAGAGCGTCATTTACCTTGACGGCGAGAAATGCTGTCATATCGGAATCTAACTATCTGACTTTAGAAGTTGCCCTCGTTCGCAAATTTTTGCATCGGTTGATCTCATCTTTGCAAGGTGTTTTTTTTTACTTCAGGGTAACAGTAAGCGCACAGCTAAGGTTTAAAAAAGATGGTCAGCTCAGTGCGGAAAGTCTTGGCAAAGTCCACTCCACCTGAAAGTCGAAACTCATAGAGTTTACGTGCTTGCATGATAATCCGAAGTGGAGTTTTAGAGTTTTCCCTCAATTCGCATAATGAGTACTTAGGTGAACCCTGTCCAACTTCCAATTCAAAGTTTGAGGTGCCCAGTATGATAGAACTTATTATTTTCTTCACACTCATCATCCAGTAGTCTCATTTTTCTGTTAAACGCCTCTGGATGAGTACCTGACCTTCTCGACCATGTTTCATTCAACTCAGTACGAGCTACGGGGGCTAGATGGCTCAGTGATTATAGCGGTTCGAACCCGACCTCTGCCTCCCGACTTCTGTTTAGGTTTGGGCAACCTGGCAGTATCCCAGACTTCGTGCTTCCTTCAGGTGCAATGGCAGTTAGGCACCGAAAGGATGCTACAGCTGAACGATTTTTTCACGTGCTTCTGTGTAAGTAGCTGACGGATTCTTATTCTGCTCCTGCCGGGAAGTCGGGACCATCAACTTTAACTCTTGCATACTGGTTCCCTAGAGTTTGCCCACACATCGTTCTTTTTCGTCCTACACAGCATACACAATTAATGCGAGATATAATAGGCACGGAATAAACAGTTGTAGGACACATAGTTTAGGTGAGAGGCTGTCAGAAGTGCCCAGTATCGACCCAATTTGGTGTACATAGTTGTGACCAACCCACTCGTAAACGTCCACCACCGATAGCTATCGGGTCTTTTGCAGCAGTGGGCACATACGAAACCGTTAATTTTTCGTTTCTCTCCTAGCTATCTTTTTTTCATACTTTTTGTACACTCCAGAGGTGTGCGCTCTTTCATACTACCAATCATACGAAGTATGGAACGACAACAATATGAAACCTTCATTGCTACCCTCATGGTACGATAACCGCACGTGTCATTGTATTTCACACATCTCGGAGAGTACACGTTTACTTCACGGTCATGTACTTATCAACTCATTTCTAATGCAGTAACCATACTTCAAAGTGCATTGTCCTCAATATATATGATACAGAGACCTCCACACATGCGCGCATTACCATTGTTTCCGCTTAATGTTTACTAAACTTGAACTTTACGAGTTTTTCTTCATTGGCGCTTATTGGGAATAGTTGGTTCGGCGTTAGCATTCCCGTTATTTTATCCCTTCACACCGGCTGTGTAACTGACTGTTAACCGATTGTATATTCAGTCTTTCTCTTTCGCCCCCACCCCCTTCTCAAGTTCTTCCTCACTTGTTTGTGTACCAGCCGTGATCATTTTTCTACGGACTAGCATTATAAGTTGCGTAATAACATTAAAAACTCTATCTGCCCTCTTGATATCCGGTGTTACCTAGCCTATCGATCTTTCTATGAGAAGAGGTTATTGTGCGAAACTATTTTCGCGACCATATTTGGGTGTTCCCTGTCGTGATGAGTCCGAACCCTGTTGTACATTTCACGCCCCGAAAGACTGATGGAAAGTAACGGTCGTCCATGATTCATTTTTATCCCCGGGTAACTTAGTTACTGTTCATTCTGTAGGTGATACCGCCCATCTGTCTATCTTTGATTCGCTGTCCAGCTTAATGCAAACACACCCTACGGCCATGTCCCACTACGCCCTCAAGTTGTGCCTTACCTCCCTCATTGTGACATTCTAACAATTTTAACGTCAGACCGCGCGATCCTTCTCCTCTTCGCCCAGCCGCCCAGTTGATGCTTTTTTTCGTATTGCCAAGCTGGGTATTTTAGTCTACTGTTGTGAAGACATTAATTTACGCTCTTCGAACAAACCCTCATACAATACTTAGCATTTTTCTGCGTTCTTAGCGCACTTGAATGAGTTGGACTACCGGACTGGTCTAAACTCGTTTTTTCCTGTGTGTTTTTTTCTAGTGAGTCTACCGTCCATTGGCAACCAGTGCGGTCATTTTCGAAAATGTCAAACTTGATCAGCACCTGGTATTCCACTCTTCGTTTGGCTCGCTGTGATGCGTTTTTCGAGGATGGCGCTCATGGGATATTACAAGTGAGTTGGATTTTTGTTTAGCACCGTCATATTTCAGCTCATCAGAACTATCTTCATCTTTCAAACGCAGTATTTCCTTCAAGCTCAATTCCGAGTCGTGGAACTTTGGGAATTCGATTGCAGCAGCACTCATCGGCCATCACCCTGGAATGTTCTGTTCCACTAGGCAGACGTAGCTTTCATGCTCGGTTAGGAAGCATTACTCTTCTGTCCCATTTACATGCCCATCACTATAGCGTTTGTTTGCGGATAGGTTAAAATCTTATTGGAGAACTTAGACTTGATCAGGGGGCCTCTTTCCAATGGGCGCTTTCTTAATTCGGGCAATTTTTGTTTGGTTTGGCACTTGCGTTGAAATTTGTTGGGAGTCGGTATACCATAGTATAGTTGGAATCCCTCCCATCTTTTCAAGTTCCAAAGGGGGACCCGGGTGATAAACAAACTATGGGCTTAGAGTTTTTACAAGCGGTATTTATATAGTGGAAATGGCCGTTCTTAAAACAGCCACCATCTATCGGGTGTTTCGACCACCTCTTTGAGACTTATCAGGTGGATGCAACAATATTCGCCGCCTGATATTCAGGTTCTTGTACCCAATACTAAACATCTGTTGGCCTCAATCATGCGTTCGGTGTATGCGTTTCTAAATGCTTCTTTCTACTTCGTGTGTCGAGGTCTGTTAGGAATCTGGCCACTTGCGCTTCTCAAGAAAGACGTGATGATTGGTGTTGACCTGGACTGTGAGATGTGAATCATACTGCATCCAGCTAGGTGGTAGAATTGTTCTCCAAAACCGAACGTTTATGCTTTGTGATTATCACCTGCAAAGGCCCATCACCCACGTGTCACATCCAATTTGACGGTTGCACTGATGACTTAGTCCATGAGGAACACAATAACTAAACATCCATCCAAAGCACTAACTGATTTTTCCAGAGATAGTACATGAACTGTGTGCGTGCAGTGAAGGCGTGTTTGAATAAAGCCGCACTAACAGCAGAAGTGCACGGGCAAACTTAAGCTACGTGCACTTTAGCAGGACCGCTGTCGTACATGTGAAACACAAACCATCGCGCATAAAAGCGCTAATTGGTATACGAACACCCTAGGGTAGGATAGTTAGGTCTCTACAGACGTGAAGTCCCGATGCTGGCAACGGCCAACTCAGAATCGGTTACGTTGGCATCGGGTTAGGCAAAGGTGGATCAAAACGACGTGTAGGTCCATGGCCAAAGAGTTTGTAAACACTTGATTTTGAACTCAGCTTCATTTAGGCGCCTCATTTCAGTAGATGGTCGCAGAAAAACTGCATAAGTGCGAATTTAAGTCGTAACTCACAGTTATGCTATGTTCCATTATCGACCATTTCAGCAACATTAGCCTGAACCTACCATTGTCAATTTCTTCGGTCTCCCAGTTGCATGACCCACTGTCCTTTAGGTAAATTCGTCTTGCTGCAACCAATTGGCCAACAATAAAGCGTCCGTACTTATTCAATCAATCATCATTCTGAGGTCATTTCTTTTTATCACCTGCTGTCCCTTAAATGACACAGTGGTTAGTGGTTTCACTATGATAAAAACAGTTAATGTTCTCAAAAAACCGCACCACTGCTCCCCTCCCTACCGCCAGTTCAACTCCCTTTAAACGGTCATAGTCCTTTGAATTTTGAACAGCCGTTTCCCCGCTTGAATATCAGCTTCATTGTATGTTAAGTGCTAATATAATTTGCAATTTATGGTTGTCAACATTCGGGTTTTTAATCCGGACATTTGAAATCTACAAATTTGGCATACAATCAACATCAACTCAGGAAGTGTGACTGTTTCAGATTCCGTAGTTTATGCTTAATAGCTGAGCTTTAATTAGTGTGAACCCAGTGGTGGCTTGTCGATGAATTTCCAGTTGCACGACAAGTCCCTGCGACTAGCCTTTGGTGATTCCATTCCTTCTTGTCCCAGTGATTTCAACTCTTAAGTTATTTACCAAATCGAGAATAGTGGTCAGTTTCGAATCAGAGCGTCTTGCCCTTATGACTTCATCATGATCATCACTGACAGCAGCACAATGGTACATCACTGCTTCATTGATGATCGGGACAACCACAAAGCCGAACTTATATTCAGCCAATCCGCGTTAGCTAATGGACCAGGTGGACTATTCTCCGTCCAATCCTAGCGCTAACCTCTCATCTGTTTGGTTACACATTTATATTTTATCCAGGAGCGGAATTAGAGATCCTTCCTGAAAATTCTTTCTTTCTTATGACGGCATGTGTCAGTTACTTGACAAGTATTTGACGTTCACAAGTTCCTTCCATTAGGACTGACCATTCTGAAGGGGAGCATGTCCATTAAGTGTTCACTACTGATCCCGGCAGTGGCTTTTGACTCACGCTCATTCTCCAAGCCGAGAATCCTCCCATTTCCCTTCCGTTGTGATTTTGCACCACTTTTGAATTGGCTGGTTGTCATCCAACATCTATTGCGTATTGTTTCATCACATTTCGCCTATCACATTTTGAACTGAAGCCTTTGCTTTGTTGAACTATGGCTACAAGTTTTCTGCGGAAATTCCGCTTAACGACCTCTTTCCGTTTTGCGAATCGTCGAGGTGCTGGACGTGGCTGACCCCGCGGGCCATTTACTATACGTGTTGCATCCTTCAGTGCCAGGTCGATCTCTACCGAGGGTGACAGTTTAGTGCTGGTTCTACAAAATACACCTTTTTACAACAATACCGCTGTACAGTTGAAAAATCATGGTTGAACAGTGACTACGATACTGGCCTAGTAGCTGTTTCTTACACCCGTTTCTGGCTCGATCTTCTGCTGAAGAACAAGAAACTCGGTGGCGATCTATTTTTACCGCGTGTTTACATTAAGGTAGCTTCATGTGACCACCGATCACACGTCTATGTTTAGCTTTACATTTTATCGAAATCGCCGCACTATTCAACCATTATTAGTCGAAATTAACCATCACAATCAAACCATTACGCTTTAAATTAAACTATTACGTTTGTCTGTGACTTGAGTGACAAGCGCCCCTTTGGATACATTATTCCGTCTATCGGTATACGTTTTTCAGCACGGAACCATATACCTGTCAATTTTCACAATGCCTTTCAGAGAAGATACGCCCAACAGTCACACGTTGGCAGTATACTGATACTACTAGTACCTCGTCAGGTGTCACGGTTGTTGTTACTGATAACGAAACTTCTCGGATTTGCTTGGGACGGAATTGTTCCTTTATGCTTCTTACACAGACAACTGAGAATGTGGTATCGCATAAAACGTTGTCTTCAAAAAAATCACGGACGATGGGTGCGTGAAATTCAAATTATGTCTCGGCCGTCAAATTTTAGTGTAAATATTTATTTTGAACACAAATAGCCGCTCCCCTGGATCACGCGGTACATGTGAAACTGTAGGCCTGGTGGCCTCGTGCGGTTCAATTAGGCTGTTCATATGAAATAAACGGTCTTGTCGGCTTTTTTTCATTTTTTCTTACTGAGCGTTTAGAGGTGGATGTAGCTTGATAGGCTATCAATAGTTTCCTTTATTTTCCTAATTGGAATGTTCACACAAAAATATGACTGAGCCCTGGTGAACCGCCAGTGTTCAAAATTACAGCTGCGATTATGGTAATGATGGCCACCTCTGGCAATTTCAACATTAATTTAAACGATCCGGAAATGGTGTTCACAAAGGTATCTTTAAGGTAGGATGTAACTAGCTCTAAAGGGTGGCTTCTCAGCACCAGGCCGTAGACCCCACCGATGGTCTCGTTGTTCGAAATTTTTCGAGGACTGTGCTTCGTGAATCTTCTTCACCCAACCATGTACAAGCTGAGGAGGTTGTGCGTTGACTTGAAATCGAAGTATGCAAGTCACAACCAACAAATTCCGTCGCGTTTTTCGTACTGTCTTCGTGGAAGACACTGGGACGGAGTACCTTGATGACTGGATAGATGGGCGATTGAGGCATCGATTGGCGTTCCTGAACTTCAGCTGTTATCTTGCGGGTCACAGAGACTCTCATTCTCAGAACTTATATAAGTCCTGTGACCAGTATGGCGTTGCCGTCGTCCCCGATGCAAAGTTTTTTTCCTTAATTTTATCGTCAGCTGTTGAGTTTTTTATCTGGAATTCCATGTACTGTATATACTATACTATACTATACTATACTATACTATACTATACTATACTATACTATACTATACTATACTATACTATACTATACTATACTATACTATACTATACTATACTATACTATACTATACTATACTATACTATACTATACTATACTATACTATACTATACTATACTATACTATACTATACTATACTATACTATACTATACTATACTATACTATACTATACTATACTATACTATACTATACTATACTATACTATACTATACTATACTATACTATACTATACTATACTATACTATACTATACTATACTATACTATACTATACTATACTATACTATACTATACTATACTATACTATACTATACTATACTATACTATACTATACTATACTATACTATACTATACTATACTATACTATACTATACTATACTATACTATACTATACTATACTATACTATACTATACTATACTATACTATACTATACTATACTATACTATACTATACTATACTATACTATACTATACTATACTATACTATACTATACTATACTATACTATACTATACTATACTATACTATACTATACTATACTATACTATACTATACTATACTATACTATACTATACTATACTATACTATACTATACTATACTATACTATACTATACTATACTATACTATACTATACTATACTATACTATACTATACTATACTATACTATACTATACTATACTATACTATACTATACTATACTATACTATACTATACTATACTATACTGCTCTATCCTGTACTATACTATACTTCATTACTCCAAATTAAGATTTTACTCATTTTGCACTA